ACGAGGAAGAGAGGATATGGTCTCAGATGTTTGTGAAGGTGTTACTACATTTTTATGGGATTTGCTTGAACTGATCTGGACCGTCGGATGAGATCAATGGACGGCCCAGATTTGCCATTTGATGAAACGGGTCGAACCGGACGGGTGGATTGGGCTGGGTTGCTATTGAGGTGATTGGGATTCTTTTGGGCTGGGTAAAATGTAACCAAACGGCCCATGGGCACTTACTTTATTATTGCACACGTGGCGAGACAAGGTGGTCTATGTCGGGGATTGATTTGTGATGACTTGTGATGGCCTGGGGGCATTCTTGTTGCTGATATTTGTGTAGTGATGCACTTACCTGTGTGAGTTCTATTTTTGTGGAAATTGAGGGAAAACATTCTACGTGCTGTCTGTTTCTTTTTCTATACTTACTAGCTGGCATGATCTATATTAGAACACTTGCACAAGCATACACGTAGTTAATCACTCTTATCGGTTAAGAGGATGGATCTTGATATTGTTAAGTATTGATGAACACCTTTGTTACTTACCTTTTATGTGAGAATGACTCTCTTGGCACGTGAGTCGCCAGCGTGGTTATAAATTTATAATGAGGGCGCATGACGCCAAGTGGTTAGGGTTCTGGAATTCGGACCCGTGAATTGTGAATACTCTGAGGTTTGATACCTCGTGATGGTTATTGGCTAAATCCGGGTGTGAAAGCGAATGTTTTTGTTAAGTTATTACTTGAGTGTCCTTTATCTATGATCACCAGATTAAAATTGTGTTTCGCTCATCCTACTCTGTTATTATTATGATGTTCCGTTGTTAGTTGTTGTTTTCTTTTTTCTTACTGCAATTACCATATCGTTTTGTCATTATGCGTAATCTTTATATAGATATTGTAGTCTGTTGTTCTGTACTTATACTTGTCAGGTTATTTAGTCCAGTAGATGTCTTAGCTGTTCCTCGTCACTACTCCTCCTAGGTTAGTCTTGATACTTACTGGGACCGTTGTGGTGTACTCATACTACGCTTTTGCACAGTTGTTGTGCAGATCCAGGTATTTGATCGTTAGTAGCTGTGCGGATCGTTGCTGTGGAGACTCAAGGTGAACCTGTTGCTGCGTTCGCAGGCTTCGGAGTCACTTTCTTATTTTGTATTTACACTGTTCACTCTTATTTCGGGATAGTTGTATTTTAGAGGTTTTCTAGCAAACTCTTTAGAGCTTATGACTTGTACTACCGGTTTTGGGGTTGGAAATTTTAAAGAGCTTTCTATTTCAAATTGTTAGATGTTATTTAAATATTGTTGCGGTTTCATTTAATGTTAGGCTTACCTAGTCCCTAAGATTAGGTGCCATCACGATAGCCAACAGAGGGAAATTTGGGTCGTGACAGTAGCTTTCGATTGGAACCATGGAAGGGCCCTTAAGGTGCACTAAAGTTGTGGAAGGGCCCTTAAGGTGCCTGCAACCGACCTCTCGATCAGCCACAACCAGCTCCAAAATCTATACAAAAAGTGCAGAGTGCAGTATCAGTACAACCGACCCCATGTACTGGTAAGTGCCGAGCCTAACCTCGACGAAGTGGTGACGAGGCTACGGCGGGGCATTTACCATATAACCTGCATACAGTATATAATAAAGCAAAAAGGAGGTACGAGACAAAATGAAACAGGAACTTGCATCAAATGGATACGGAACTCAAATATCTTGTAAGTTCCTAGTTATAACCAATCCTTGAGAGAGTTACAAAACTACGGAACAAATTCAGAGCAGAAGGACATAAACAACAAACTGATGCGGCGTGCATCCCGATTCCACCATATAATCATTATCAATATGAACATTCACCCTTATTACTCCTTATCAAACCACCCTTATTCCCCCTGTTGCAGCATGCAACTCGATCCCACCAGACAATAGTAATTCACCCTTATTACTCCTCAATATATAACCCTTATTACTCCTGTTCCGGCGTGCAACCCGATCCTACCAGACAATCACCCTTATTCCTCAATATATCACCCTTATTCCTCATGTTGCGGCGCGCAACCCGATCCCACCATATCAGTACCAATCAAACAATAAGAACGGGAATTTCACAATTTAGCTCAAAATCCTCCACAATATATAAGCCTCAAACCAAGGCAAACCAAAAGCTATACAATTATGAAACTTCACTCAATTAATACTACACAGCGAGACCAACCAAAATATACCATGAAACACCGATACGCCAACTTAAACTAATAATGAAATACAATGAAACTACGGAACAATTAATACTTGCAATAAAGGAAATTACATTTCACAAGAAGCAATAAACATGGAAACACCAATAAGCATATAGCAGTTAAGACAGGAAAATAATATATTAAGAACGGGGAAGCAAACAGGCTAAACAGATAATGTGGCGGCTCATAGGTACTCGTCACCTCACCTATACGCCACACACATGGATCTTCACATAGCAAATAAGTCGGGGATCCCTAATCCCTCAAGTCAAAGTTAGACACAACACTTACCTCAATCCGACGGTCAATTAAACGCTCAATTACCGCTTTTCCTCTAGATTCCACCTCCAATCCACTCGTATCTAGTCATAATTAACTTAATAACATCAATTATCGCTAAAGAAATCAATTCCAATGCATAATTATAGGTTTCCCAACATTTCCCCAAAAAGTTAAAAATCGACCCCGGGCCCACTTGGTCAAAACCCGAAATTCGGACCAAAACCCGATTACACATTCACCCCCGAGCCCGGATATACAATTGGTTTTGGAATCCGACCTCAATTTGAGGTCTAAATCCCCAAATTTCGAAATCCCTAAGTGCTACCCGAAAATCCCCAATTCTACCATGAAAACCCCTAGATTCTAGGATTAAATCTTATAAAACAAAGTGAAAGATTGAAAGAAAAGAGTTAAGAATCATCTACCTACGATTTGGGGAAGAAATGGTCTTTGCAAAATCGCCTCTTGAGGTTTAGGTTTTGAAAAATGGAAGAATGAATGAAAAATCCCGTCTAAGTCCCTTTTTGCACAGTTGCAGATGTCGCACTTGCGACCTGAGCTTCGCAATTGCGAAGCTCGCAAATGCGAGACTGGCATCGCAAAAGCGAACCTGTCGTATTTCTGCTACTGCAAATGCGAACTAATTGTCGCAATTTCGAAGGACCCCTTCCCCTGACCACTCCGCAAATGCGAAGGTTGTTCGCATTTGCGATGAGAAGCTCGCAAATGCGACCTCCACAGTAATCGCAAATGCGAACCTTGACCTCGCATTTGCGAGGTCTGAGGCCTGCAACACAGCTGAAGAACACCAGCAACTTTTCTAAGTTCCAAATCACTCCTTAGCCTATCCGAAACTCACCCGAGCCCTCGAGTCTCCAAACCAAACATGCACACAAGTCTAACAACATCGTACGGACTTGTTCGTGCGATCAAATCGCCAAAATAACACCTAGAACTACAAATTTAGCACCAAATTGCATGAAATTTTCAAGAAAGTTTTAAAACTTCTATTTTCTCAACCAAAGGTCCGAATCACGTCAAATCAGTCCCGTTTCTCACCAAATTTCACAGATAAGGTATAAATATCATAACGGACTTGTACCGGGCTCCGGAACCACAATACGGACCCGGTATCAACAAGATCAATTATTAACCAAATTCTTAAAACCATTATAATTCCAGTTTTACAATATTCATCAAAAATTCATTTCTCGGGCTAGGGACCTCGAAATTCGATTCCGGGCATACGCCCAAGTCCCACATTTTACTACGGACACACCGGGACCTTCAGAACATGGGTCCGAGTCTGTTTACTCAATGTGTTGATCGAAGTCAACAAAAATCAACTTTTTAGGCCTTAAATTATTATTTCGTCAATTTTTCACATAAAAGCTTTCCGGATATAGGCCCGTACTGCGCACGTAAATCGAGAAGATATAAAATGAGATTTTTTTAAGGCCTCGAAACGCGGAATCGAGTTCTAAAACAGAAGATGACCTTTTGGGCCATCACATTCTTCTTCTAGTATTCATTGATTTTATGTGTGAAAAATATTATTTTTGATGATTGTATAAATATGAGTTGCTAAGGACCTTATTATTCTTGGGGTCATGGGTGCTACATGAATGTTGACATTTAAAGTTTAAATTGACGAGTTTGATTTATCATATTGGGTTGTTTATTTAATTTTGTTCTTATCATTTTGCTGCATAGATAACAGTGAAATACTACTTACGAATCTAGCGTTGAACTCGAAAGTGGAAATTCTATATTGTATATAGGATTAAATAGAGCAAGTTCTTAAACTCGGGCTTCGGGGAACGCATTCGCAATTAGGATAGAAATATACCTAATTGTCTTGCTTAGTTGAGATACAGGAAGTGTAAATGCGTTTTTGTTAGTCTTAATTCCATAGACACATAGGTATTAAGTTAGCTTGAATAGGCGAGTAAGCACTCGACAGATTCTTACGAGTATTATCAACCCTGTCAATCAACAAACCAAATAAATCAATTATTCATTTTAAGCCAAGAACGCAACAAGATTGTTAGCTAGCCTATGACTCTGGAATATCCTCTCCTACTGATTTTTATCCGAAATTGCCTAAGTGTTGTAGTCGATCTCCAGTTATTTCATTGCTTGATAGTTTCTTTGGTAGTTAATTAATCACTTACACATTTTGTGAAAAAAATCTCTTGAATCGATAAGATGTTTGAGTTTGAGTCTGTCAAAAGTTAATTATAAGTCTCTGTGGGAACGATACTCTACTCATTATTTTATTACTTGACGACCATGTATACATGCGTGTGTGTGTTTGGTCGCAACAATAACCTATGCGAGTTTAATAGTAAAAGCGAAAAACACAAAGTTAAATATGCAAATATCAACATTAATCATACAAGATATTATACTAAAAACCAAATATTGGATATATTATTTTTGGCAAATTTAGATATAACAACCTTAGAATGTAAAGATTCGAAATTTTCTCTACATTAATCACAAGCATCTACACTGAAAGTTAGAACGTTATTCTTAGTATCAAAAGTTAATCCTGTCCCTTGAAGTTGATTAGTGCCTATAATTGAAAAATTGTGATTCCATCCAAAAAAACCTAAGCAATAAAACCCTGCATTTTGTATTACAACTCGTTCTTGTACTAACATCAGCTCTTGACTTGGAGAAATATTGCCAAAGTAAAACCTCACAACTGGGAAATATACTTCAGCACCATATGGATCATCTTTGTAACATGTATCAAATGGACCAACTCCATCTTCAACCATTTCATAATCTTTAACCTCAAGTCTAAAAACGTCGCGAAATATAATATAAAAATCATGAGGAAAACGAGAGATCAGTGTCCCTGAATCAACGATCACACCTTGATTACCATTATTCCACCACGAAGGATCCACTGGAACAACTTTATCGTTAATCACAATCTTGAAAATATTGACATTGTAAAAATGAGGGTTTAATGGATTTTTTACTAGTTTCACACGGAGCTTTATTAAACGTGAGAACAGATGATTGTACCGAAGTAGAACTTGGTAGACATAATGCAAATATTGACGACCCTAATTGAGATGGTAAAGAATATCCACCTATAGCTTTCGTGCTAACTCTTCGACCAAGTCCAGCAATTCCAGAAAATGTACCACTGAAATCTTGACTACCACTTCTTTGGTCAATACTACAACCAAAATTAATCCTAGCTTGTGTATTGTCTGAAGGAAAAATAATAACCTCAGATTGCATAAAACCTTTTGTTGTTTGTCCACTTCCATATGTTGTCTCATAAAAACATAAACTACTACTTAAAGCACAATGAAAATGTGGATCTTCAGCTACACAAACTGAACTATCTTCAACACAATAAAGTCTTTTGAAAGTTTTCGACGTGGTACGATTATATATAGTATTAAAAACTTGTTTAAAACACTTATTTGGAACACAAGGTGCACATTGCCACCAAACTAAGTAACTTCCGGTGTCTATTAGTAAGTAATTTCTTATTCTTTCACTACCAAGCATAAATAGGGCAACATAATGACTTTGATAGTATGAAGTAGGTGCTACCTTTAGGATTTGGTCATGGTTCTTACTCAAATTACGCGCATACTTCTCTTGAAAATCGGGGTCTTTTTTTGTTTCTGTATCGCGGTATTTGAACTTTGATGCCAAGTATGTAGCTCTAGCATGATCTTGAGCAAGACGATTTGTTAGCACGGAGTCATAGTCTTTGAATTTTGATTTTTCAAAGACGTCGATATGGTAAACACTAAAAGAATAAGACGGCATTGGAGGATCTTGAAGCTTGGATATATCAAAAGACATGAATGTTTTTCTAGCTTGTTTAATGGAAGAAGAATTAATCTTGAAATATGATTTTTCATTGCTTAAACTAGCAAATGATTTCCAATGAAGGATTGACATAAGAAGATGAAGAATAAGGAGGAGGTTTTCCATTGGTAATTAGTTTAATTTTACTATTGATTTATTTTGAAACTTGTGCAGACATTTCGATTATTTATAATATAAGTATGTAATTAAACACGAAATCCCGTTAAATATATTTACGTATTTGCAATCTATATATTAATTAGGATACTAATTCTAGGGTCAATAATCAAATTTAATTATATCTCATTATGTCTAGCAATATTATTGGTAAATTAATCTTGTACTTACCTTTTTGGTTCCAATCTCCTAAAAACGCAATATTGCTTTCCGTAACTATTTCACGAAAATAATTTGAATGATTTTCAGTATACATAATGAAATATGATTTTATCATTTGAGCCTAGTATTAGTATCCTAATAATTAATATATAGATTGCAAAAAAATTACCTAAATTGTGATTGGTGCAAAATGAAGTTTCCATATAGTATAGATTTCATATTTAATTCTTGTTAAGTAATGTTACAAGATTTTATGCTTAGTTTGGACATTTCCAAATAAGCATAGGTATATCTTAATGATTTACCATAAATAAGTGTGAAATGATCCAAACTTGTGTTCACATTAAATTCACTTTTTTTTGTCCAAATTTGTACACAAATTTTGGTAACATTTTAAGGATGAAACATAAACCAATGTTATAAATGATTGAAGCAATTTGCTCAAGTTTCAAACCAAATTAATACTAAATCAAAATTACCAATGGAAAAACCCCTCCTTCTTCTTCTTCTTCTTATATCAATCCTTCATTGGAATTCATTTGCTAGTTTAATCAATGAAAAATCATATTTCAAGATTAATTCTTCTTCCATCAAACAAGCTAGAAAAGCTTTCATGTCTTTTGATATATCCAAGCTTCAAGATCCTCCAATGCCGTCTTATTCTTTCAGTGTTTACCATCTCGACGTCTTTGAAAAATCAAAATTCAACGATTATGAGTCCATGCTTACTAATCGTCTTACTCAAGATCATGCTCGAGCTACATACTTGGCATCAAAGTTGAAATACCGCGATACTGAAATAAAAAAAGACCACGATTTTCAAGAGAAGTACGCGCGTAATTTGAGTAAGAACCATGACCAAGTCCTAAAGGTAGCACCTACTAATTACTTTAATGGTCACTATGTTGCCCTTTTATTGCTTGGTAGTGAAAGAACAAGAAATTACTTGCTAATAGACAGTGGAAGTTACTTAATTTGGTGGCAATGTGCACCATGTATTCCAGATAAGTGTTTCAAACCGCGTTATAATACTATATACGATTCTACCACCTCCAAAACATTCACACAACTTGATTGCGTTCAAAACAGTTCAATTTGCATAAGTGCAGATCATGATTTTCGTTGCGCTTTAAGCAGCAAACGATGTTTCTATACGCAACAATATATAACTGGAGAAACAACAAAAGGTTTTATGGCATCTGATGTGATCACATTTCCTTCAGACAATACACAAGCCAGGATAAAATTTGGTTGTAGTATAGATCAAAAAGGCGGTCCAGATTTCAGTGGTATATTTTCTGGGATTCTTGGTCTTAGTAAAAGAGTAAGCTTAATAGCTACAGGTGGATATTCTTTACCATCTCAATTAAGTTCGTCGATATTTGCATTATGTTTACCAACTGCTGTTTCTGTACAGCCATCTATCCTCACCTTTAATAAAGCTCCGTGGATATATGGAACAGAGGCAAAACTACTAAAAAATCGATTAACTCCTCATTGGTACTACGTCGATCTTTTCAAGATTGTGATTAATGATAAAGAAGTTCCAGTGGATCCTTCGTGGTGGAATGGTCAAAAAGAAACTCATGGAGTCATGATCGATACAGGGACGTTAATTACTCGTTTTCCTCATGATTATTACATTATATTTCGCGACGTTTTCAGAGAAGAAGTAAAAGATTATACTATGATTGAAGATGGATATGGTATATTTGACACTTGCTATGAAGATGATCCAGATGGTGCTGATGTATATTTCCCAATTATCAAGTTGTACTTTGGCAATTATTCTGAAAGTCAAGAGGTGCTGCTGGTAGATGGACGAGTTGTAGTAAGTATTGGGGGTTACTATTGCCTAGCTTTTATGCCATGGGATGATAAATCTACACTTATAGGCACTAATCAGCTTCAAGGCATAGGTTTAACTTTTGATACTAAAAAAAATGTTTTAACTTTCAGTGTTGATGCTTGTGATTGAGATAATAAAATTTGAACCTTTATCGCTGGTTTGGATTGTTGTTATCTGTTGTGTTGTATCGTTTTGTTACTTCAAAGACAATGTTTGTTTTGATTGTTACTTAAATTTTATTGTATCGTATCGTTAAATCTGTTGTTACGTAACGACAAAAAGTGTCACTTTATGGAACGACCGAATTGGTGTGGTCGCGTCGTTTTTTTTTTCCTCTCATCTTGCCCTTTTTTATTACTCCATCCGTTTAAAATTAAATGAGGTAGTTTGACTCGGCACGGAGTTTAAGGACAAAAAGAAAGACTTTTGAAATTTGTGGTCTTAAAAGCTTAAGGGGTAAACCTTTGTGGGGCCATGACTTTTGTGTGGTTATAAAAGCTTCTCATTAAGGGTAAAATGGGTAAAATGGGAGGTTTAAAGTTGAATTATTTCCAAATTCAGAAATGTGTCATTTATTTTGGAACAGACTAAAAAGAAAAGTACCTCATTTAATATGAAACGGAGCGAGTATTAAATAATCCTATTATATCTAATTAAACTTTGATTATTCTTCTTCGTAAATTTAGTAGATATCCAATCATTTTAACCTCGACAAATAAGCAAGCCAGCAAACGATGATCCATATTGATCATTCACTAAAAAAAGTTACTTTATTCTCATCTATAATTATTTACTCAAAAAACTTTGTCTAATATACTATTTTATAAAATCATAAATTACATATA